GGGGGGGGGGGGGGGGGGTGAAGGTCCTCACCCAATCCATGTGATCCAATGAATTGTTGAAATTTTTAGGTTGTGTACTTAGAGTAAAATTCTTTATCAGGAGAAGATTTTGTCTCAACCGCCTATATAGGGTGCAAGGTGATTATAATTGATGAGTTGGATGAGGTGCACAGTTTCAAAGAGATTTAAGTTGTTCTCTTCCACATTTTAGCTAGATATTCTTATTATCTAGATGTAATTTTACTATTTTTCATTTCATTTGCGACTCCTATGTGAAGACATTTTAGACTTAGTGAAAACAATGCCAGGTGTGCCCCTGTGCAAAATATGCTCCTTATCTGCAATAACTACTTCAGGCAAAATAGAAGAGGGAATAGGTGTAGGAATAGAAATACCTGGAGAACGGCCGGGGTTAGCACCCATGACTGCCTGGGCAAAGGAAGGGCGCGACCCCGAAGGACCATGTCCTCCCCTCGGCCCAGGTAGAACATCTTGAGCTCCGGATGCAAGCGTATGCACGATGGAATTTGAGATGGATCCAAACGTGACATTCTGTCCTGCTCCATGCACCGGTGCAACCACGGACACCGTGTGGGTCTTCACAATGGGAATAGCCGTCTGAATTTCAGAAATAGGACCATCATCGGCCTGATTAGTAATAAGTACCGCAACAGATACCTCAGTCGTCATCATGGGGACATTAACAGGAGCAGCAACCTCGCTACTAGTAACATCCCGAACCTCCTCCGTGACCGGAGAGTGCACCACATGGAACTGATCAAAATATCCCGCTTCTTGCATAAGTTCCACAAACTCCCATAAAGGCGCAGGTATGAAAAAGAATGCCAGCTCTTGCAGTGCCGATGAGGCAGTAGAGGACTCAGGCCAAGTCCTTATGCTTGACGAGAGAGACACCATCAATGCTAAGGACAACTGCCATCCCCTTGGAGCGGGAAATCCCAACCAGGAAGAAGCCCTCGTCTGGTGTGATCATACTCTTTTGCGCAACATCCCTCAAGAAAGAAGCAACATCCTTGGCAGCTGACTGGACGCCATAGCCTCATGATGTATAGTCTCACGAACTGCCCGAATAGATTCCTTGGCTATGCGTTCGGCCTCCTTCGCGCGAGCAATGTCTGTCTTGCGCTTTGCCTTCTTAAACTTTTCCGATCGGCCGAACGCTCTCCAAACGATTGAGACACTCCTATTTTCAAAGCCAATTTGGTATAGACCTCGAAGCCAAAACTAAAAAAATAATAATTAAGACATTATTAACAAGTCTATTTTACATGAAACTTTAACAAAGGATTTTACATGCAAATAGAAACATCCATGTCACATTTTGCAACTTTATTGATGCATTTAAAATTTAGCCAAAATATTTGATGGTACCCCTATGAGCTCGAGGGAAAAACTAAAAAAAAAATAATAATTTAGACATTATTGACAAGTCTTTTTGACATGAAACTTTTACAATTATTTTACATGCAAATAGAAAGATCCATGTCAAATTCGGCAACTTTGTTGATGAATTTAAAAGTTGTCCAAAAAACGTGATGGTACCCCTTAGAGTTCGAGGTCAAAACTAAAAAAATAATAATTTAGACATTATTGACAAGTTTATTTGACATGAAACTTTTATAAAAGATTTTACATGCAAACAGGATCATCCATGTCAAATTTTGGAACTTTTTTGATGGATTTAAAATTTAGCCAAAATGTGTGATGGTACCTCTAAGAGCTCGAGGCCAAAATTAGAAAAATAATAATTTAGACAATATTTACAAGTCTTTTTGACATGAAAGTTTTACAAAGTATTTTACATGCAAATAGAACATCCATGTAAAATTCGGCAACTTTTTTTGATGAATTTAAAATGTGGCCAAAAAACGTGATGGTACCCCCTAGAGTTCGAGGCCAAAACTAAAAAAATAATAATTTAGACATTATTGACAAGTCTATTTGAAATGAAACTTTTACAAAAGATTTTACATGCAAACAGAACATCCATGTCAAATTCGACAACATTTTTGATGAATTTAAAATTTGGCCAGAAAACGTGATGTTACCCCTAGTGCTCGAGGCCAAAACTAAAAAAATAATAATCTAAACATTATTGACAAGTCTTTTTGACATGAGACTTGTACAAAGGATTTTACATGTAAATAGAAACATCTATGTCAAATTTTGCAACTTTTTTGATGGATTTAAAATTTAGCCAAAATATGTGATGGTACCTCTAAGAGCTCGAGGTCAAAATAAAAAATAATAATTTAGACATTATTGACAAGTCCTTTTGACATGAAATTTTTAAAAAGTATTTTACATTTAAATAGAAACATCCATGTCAAATTCCGCAACTCTTTTGATTAATTTGACATTACGTCAAAAAACATGATGGTACTCCTAGAGCTCGAAGCTCAAACTAAAAAAAAACATTATTGACAAATCTTTCTTACATGAAACTTTTACAAAAGATTTTACATGTAAATAGAAACATCCATGTCAAATTTTGCAACATTTATGATGGATTTAAAATTTAGCCAAAAAAATGTGATGGTTTCTAAGAGCTCGAGGGCAAAACTAAAAAAATAATAATTTAGACATTATTGACAAATGTTTTTGAGATGAAACTTTTACAAATTATTTTACTTGCGAATAGAAACATCCATGTCAAATTCGGCAATTTTTTTGATGAAATTAAAATTTGTCCAAAAAGCGTGATGGTACTCCTAGAGCTTGAGGCCAAAACAAAAAAATATTAATTTATATATTATTGACAAGCCTTTTTGACATTAAACTTTTACAAAGGATTTTACATGCAAATAGAACATCGATGTCAAATTCGAAAACTTTTTTTATGAATTTAAATTTGGCCAAAAAATGTGATGGTACCCCTAGAGCTCGAGGCCAACACTAAAAAATTAATAATTTAAACAGTATTGACAAGTCTATTTGACAATAAACTTTTACAAAAGATTTTATATGCAAACAGAACATCCATGTCAAATTCGACAACTTTTTTTATAAATTTAAAATTTCGCCAAATATGTGATGGTACCCCTAGAACTCGAGAACAAAGCTGAAAAAATAATAATTTAAACATTATTGACAAGTATTTTTGACATGAAACTTGTACAAAGGATTTTACATGTAAATAGAAACATCCATGTCAAATTTTGTAACTTTTTTGATTGATTTAAAATTTACCCAAAATATGTGATGGTACCTCAAAGAGCTCGAGCCCAAAATTATAAAAATTTTAATTTAGACATTATTGACAAGTTTTTTTGACATGAAATTTTTAAAAAGTATTTTACATGCAAATAGAAATATCCATGTCAAATTCTGCAACTCTTTTGATTAATTTAAAATTTGGTTAAAAAACGTGATGGTACCCCTAGAGCTCGAATCTCAAACTAAAAAAATAATAATTAAGACATTATTGACAAGTCTATTTTACATGAAACTTTTACAAAGGATTTTACATGTAAATAGAAACATCCATGTCAAATTTTGCAACTTTTTTCATTGATTTAAAATTTAGCCAAAAAAATGTGATGGTACCCCTTAGAGCTTGAGGCCAAAACAAAAAAAAAAAAAATTTATATATTATTGACAAGCCTTTTTGACATGAAACTTTTACAAAAGTTTTTACATGCAAACAGAACATCCATGTCAAACTCGACAACTTTTTTATGAATTTAGAATTTCGCCAAAAAACGTGATGGTACGCCTAGAGCTCGAGGCCCAAACTAAAAAAATAATAATCTAAACATTATTGACAAGTATTTTTGACATGAAACTTGTACACATGATTTTACATGTAAATAGAAACATCCCTATAAAATTTTGCAACTTTTTTGATTGATTTAAAATTTAGCCAAAATTTGTGATGGGACCACTTAGAGCTTGAGGGCAAAATTAAAAAAATAATAATTTAGACATTATTGACAAGTATTTTTGACATGAAATTTTTGAAATGTATTTTACATGCAAATAGAAACGTCCATGTCAAGTTCGGCAACTCTTTTGATGAATTTGAAATTTGGCCAAAAAACGTGATGGTACCCCTAGAGTTCGAAGCTAAAATTAAAAAAAATAATAATTAAGATATTATTGACAAGTCTATTTTACATGAAATTTTTATAAAGGATTTTACATGTAAATAGAAACATTCATTTCAAACTTTGCAACTTTTTTCATGGATTTAAAATTTAGCCAAAAAATGTGATGGTACCCCTAAGAGCTCGAAGGCAAAACTAAAAAAATAATGATTTAGACATTATTGACAAGTCTTTTTGACATGAAAATTTTACAAAGTATTTTACATGCAAATAGAAACATCCATGTCAAATTCGGAAACTTTTTTGATGAATTTAAAATTTGGCCTAAAACCGTGATGGTACCCCTAGAGCTTGAGGAGAAAACTAAAAAAATAATAATTTTGATATTATTGACAAGACTTTTTTACATGAAACTTTTACAAAGGATTTTACATGCAAATAAAACATCCATGTCAAATTCGGCAACTCTTTTGATAATTTGAAATTTTGCCAAAAAACCTGATGGTACACCCTAGAGTTCGATGCCAAAACTAAAAATATAATAACTTAGACAGTACTGACAAGTCTATTTGACAAGAAACTTTTACAAAAGATTTTACATGTAAACATAACATCCATGTCAAATTCAGAACCTTTTTTGATGAATTTAAAATTTGGCCAAAAAACGTGATGGTAGCCTAGAGCTCGAGGCCAAAACTAAAAAATAATAATTTAAACATTATTTACAAGTCCTTTTGACATGAAGCTTGTACAAAGGATTTTACATGTAAATATAAACATCCATGTCAAATTTTTCAACTTTTTTGAAAGATTTAAAATTTAGCAAAAAAATGTGATGGAACCTCTAAGAGCTCAGGACCAAAATTAAGAAAATAATAATTTAGACATTATTGACAAGTCTTTTTGCCAGGAAATTTTTGAAAAGTATTTAACATGCAAATAGAACATCCATGTCAAATTCGGCAACTTTTTTGATGAATTTGAAATTTGGCCTAAAACTGTGATGGTACCCCTAGAGCTCGAAGCCAAAACCTAAAAAAATAATAGTTAAGACATTATTGACAAGCCTTTTTGACATGAAACTTTTACAAAGGATTTTACATGCAAATAGAACATCCATGTCAAATTTAGCCAAAATATGTAATGGTACCTCTAATAGCTCGAGGCCAAATTAAAAAAATAATAATTTAGACATTATTGACAATTCTTTTTGACATGCAATTTTTAAAAAGTATTTTACATGCAAATAGAAACATCCATGTCAAATTTTGCAACTCTTTTGATTAATTTAGACAATATTGACAAGTCTTTTTGACATGAAATTTTTAAAAAGTACTACCTCCGTCCCAGAGTATTTGTCCACTTTCATTTTTACACACCATCCAATAAACTTCTTTAATCCATTTTATCTTGTAATTTGTATATTAAAAAATTATAGAAATTATATAATAATAATCTATATGCTAAGACAAATCAAACAAGATCACACATGACTATATTTAGGCTTACACATTGAGAGAATTTGATGAGTCAAAGTGCTTAGATGAACAGTTCGAAAAGTCAAAACTGGACAAATACTCCGGGACGGAGGGAGTATTTTAGATGCAAATAGAAACATCCATTTCAAATTCAGCAACACTTTTGATTAATTTGAAATTTTGTCAAAAAACGTGATGGTACCCCAAAAATAATAATTACGACATTATTGACAAGTCTATTTTACATGAAACTTTAACAAAGAATTTTTACATGTAAATAGAAACATCCATGTAAAAGTTTGCAAATTTTTTTATGGATTTAAAATTTAGCCAAAATATGTGATGGTACCCCTAAGCGCTCTAGACCAAAATTAAGAAAATAATAATTTAGACATTATTGACAAGTCTTTTTTGCTCTAAAATTTTTGAAGAGTATTTTACATGCAAATAGAAACATTCATGTCAAATTCAGCAACTTTTTTGATGAATTTGAAATTTGGCCAAAAAACGTGATAGTACTTCTAGAGCTCGAAGCCAAAACTAAAAAAATAATAATTAAGACATTATTGACATGTCTATTTCACATGAAACTTTTACAATGGATTTTACATGTAAATGAAAACATCCATGTAAAATTTTGCAACTTATTTGATGGGTTTAAAATTTAGCCAAAAAATGTGATGGTACCCCTATGAGCTCGAGGGCAAAAGTAAAAAAAAAAAAATTT